GGTAAAAATAACGTTTTCTTTATAAAAATAGATTACCTGTGGGGTGTGCTGTTTAGCGAGTTGATTCGTCGATTTCCCATTTAATAACTGGCAGGTTCAACATTTAATTGTACCCTTTTAACATAACATTTATAATAATGGCAAAGAATATCTTCAATATTGATATGTCTTTCTTCCTTGAAGCGTAGTAAGACGTGCTCTATTTTTTGTTCAACTAGACGAGTTGTAAAGCTTTTCGGTTGGCTAAAAGATACCGTGATGGTCTTCGTTGGATAGCAGTTAGTAGTGATATTTTTTGTTTAACTCTACGAACTGTGATATATTTCGTAAGAGTGTTGCTATCCGTGATAGTTTTCGTTAGAGCGTAGTAAGTCTTGATATTTTTCGTTAGACTTTAGGAGGTGTGATTTTCTTCGTCGGAGTATAGTAAGCCGTGATTGTTTTCGTCATATTGCACTTAGCTGTGATATTTTTCGTCCAACTACGCATACTATGCTTTCTTTCGTAAGAGTGTTGCTATGCGTGATTGTCTTCGGTGGAGCGCGAGTGTGTAAATTGGTCTTCGCCAGACTTCGTAAACTATGATAGACTTCGTGAGAAGCTCTTAGCTGGTATAGTTTTCGTATGTATCTGCAGTGTGATTCTTTTCGTACGAGCCGTCGATATAAGAGCACAAGAACCATTGAAAAATGTGTAAAGTATTGTAATGAGCGGCAATTACCGAAGTCTTTGGTCTTCGAATTAGTATCATGACACACGTCGAATCCTACGACCATTAACCCATTGAGTGGTATCGCAACAGTCCATGGAATACCACCGATCTTACAATTGAGCTGTATAGCTACTTTTGTTGCAACAGACATAATCGATTTATTCTGTAAGCTCCTAGCCAGTAAAACTTGAGTGGGTACCGGCCTGTCTACGCAACATTTTTTTTTAATAGCTGCATATCTATCCAGACGATTATTGCTTGCTATGCAAAAGATTAACAATGGCACTTTTTTACTCATGACGATTTCGAGCGTTTCAACGTAAGTGCTAGGATTATCATCCCTTAAATCAATGATTTTGGGATAGTTAATCCGAAAATTCATTCCACTGGCTGCTTTGATCAAAGAACTTATAAAATTCTGAAAGCACAAAAAAAAAAAAAAAAAAAAAAAAAAAAACAAATAATTATGATTAATCATACAAGAGTACTTGGTACGAAATATACATCAGCTACGTTTGGGTCACAGACATCTACGTGTGATTTATAAGCAATTAGAGAATTACCTGAGCATCTCTCTTTAATCTGTTGGGTACTAATAACACCCACTCATCAAGAGAGCCGCTAACTCGCATCGAACGGTAACGTAAATCACCAGTCCAATTGGCATTGGTATTGACCGGTGTGGTACTATTGTCACCGTATATTATTTTATCGCATGTCAGAACGCGAGCTGGCACATCAACCAACTTTCTGTCAAGCTCTAGGTTCCAGCTTTGAATTTCTGCAGCAATGGCTGGAACTCCATGAAGACGCTGATTAAAGTTCATAAGTTTTTTTATTCTATCAACAGGTGACACACGAGTGAACTTAGCTAATGCACTCATTAGCCTATTGTCGTTTCTCATACTGTCAGTCAACCCTAGTCAGAAAAATGTGAAATTTTTTTTAATTCAACGTGAAACATACTGACAATTACAGACAACTTTAACTTACCAGTGCATTTACAGAGCTCAGGTATTAGGTAAACCATTTCTGATTTTCCAGCTCGTCTATCTCTGGCTTTAGCTTTGGACACTAGCAATGGTTGTCTCATTTCTGTAATAGTAACATTGTACCTCGTTCTATAATACTCACTGTAGGATATTTCATCATTTTTTTTCATGAAAGTAGACTTGGGTGTTACTGAAAAGTCGACATCATCAACTTTATATGAATTATCATTGTAATACGTTAATACAACAGATCCAATGACCGTGTTTTTGTACACACGCTGAAATTTAATTTTTTTTAATCAAAGTTAATACATCGAGAATTAATGTGCCTGTGTGTGTGTAACATAAAAGTTTGAGGGTACCTGATAATCATGGGGATTTGTTTGGTAACACTCTTTTAACAAGTGAAGAAGAGTGTCACTTCTCATCACTTTGTGAGTAATTTCGGCACACATCAGTATATCATTTTCATGTTGTCTAATGGAGGTAAAGTATCCTGGCAACAGCTCAAGGCGATATTCTCTAACCTCAGTCTTAATAAATGCATGATAATATTTTATTCAATAAAAAAAATTATATTTAATGATTCATAGAGTTAAAACAATAACTTCAAGTTCTATTACCTTCTTATGTGGATCAAAATAGTTACGACCTAACAATTTCAATTCAAGAAGATCGAGACATTTTCGCATTATAATGTTGAAAAACGCAACATACTCGTAGTCACCTTTGTTCAACTGTCCAACATGACGAATTTTTATTGACATCAATTGATTATCAGATTCTCGCTGAGACGTCAATTCGAGTGGCTGTTTAAAAAATTAGACTAATGATAAATGTTTAAAATAATGACACACTCTACTGTTAACAAATACACAAATTATTGTTTGAAGTAGTGATAAATTACGAATTCGGGATAAGAACATAATTTACCTTAGGTAGCATGCGTGTAGAATATAACAACGTTCCATCAAAGATGTAAGCTCCAAGAGTTTGTCTGTGAGCCCTTAACAACCCTTTACGTATGACATTACGATCCTCTTCTGGCTCAATATCCACGCGGTATTTTTGAAGGCACCAGTCTGGGGTACTCAACAATTTGAAGTAATTTGCCTTCAGTAATACTGGTTGTCCATGCGCACCTAAGAATTATATTTAAATATTAGTAAAACCAAAGTTTATCTTTTAAATGCCATTATTATGCCCAATACACTATGTAATATATGTAGAATATAAAAATACCCTGCTTTGTGACGAGATGTCTTGGCCTGGTTACAATATCCATTGGCAGCATTCGACGTCCTCTAAATGATCCTCTAGCTGCTTCTGAGCCAGCCACAGAACCTAATGCATGAGCAAGTATGAATAAACGTACAAGTTAATTAATCAATAATCAAAATCATCAATGTAACACACGCGCACATACACACACACACACACACCACTTTAAATTTTTTTCCCAAATTCAAAATAGCTTTTCATAAAATGCTAACTTAGATTCGAATTTAATGTAAGCTAGCGTTTTTTTACAATGATTTAGAATTAACGTTTTTATTTTTTTAACTAAGGCATCCATTCACATAAACAAACGAGAAAAACATTAAATCAACTACTTTTTGGATCATACTTAATCATTTCACGTATCAACATATAATTAAATATAAATATACGTGAAAATACTAAAGTAACATGTAGGTTACATATAGATGTACATGCACATAAGTGTTGATAAAAATAACGAAAGGTACAGATAGAAAACATATATTCAAGGTGAACATTTTTTTCCACATTCTTCAATAACTTGAACAACTTCTTAAAAAGGAAAAAGATGGCATTGATGTTCAAATAAATTATTTTATAATAAGGGAACGATGTGACAAAGCGTATTAAAATCAAGCATGAGCAAATATATGTTACCAGCAACCGAAGCAGTTTCCGACGCAGTTTCAGAATACGCTGTGACAGCCGGCCTGTGTTGCTCAGTTGAGCCCAAATGTTCACCACGTGCAGTAGTCTAAAGTACGTATATACAAGAAAATTACAGATTATTGTAAAATAAGCTTACATATATAATAACAATAAAATAAAATAAGGCCAAGTTCATAAATTTCAGAGCTATACTGACCGGATAGTAAGATGATGGTCCAGCGGCTGCTGAAGTAGACGGTGCACCTGCGGTTACCGCTGCTTCATCAGAAGGCAGCGAGGGCCTCGCGTAAGACGGCCCAGATGAGTAAGAGACACTTGAATGGCTGTAAGGTTCTCCCCCAGGGCGTCGCGATTGAGATATTCCAGGCCTTGGCGACTGATAACCAGAGCTACTGCTGCTGGCTCGCGCCCGTTCATCTCTTCTGTCAATTTCAGTCCTTGCTCGAGCTCTTCTTTTGTCACTCATCTCGTCACCCCTGTCTCTGTCTCGATCGCGGTCACGGTCACGATCCCGATCCCTTTCGTAGTAATCCAAATCGTAATATTGTCTAGAAAAAAAAAAAAAAAATTCAGTTGTGTACTTAATTATTTAATAGAATTTTTTTCCATTATTTCTTTCATAGCGTTATGCATAATGCATTATTGTTCTTGTATTTGTAAAGAAATGTTGAGCTTAAACTTTCAACAAGTGAAAATTTTAACTCTAAATTTTTTTTTTCTTAAGTAGTCCACAATTAGTGCAAGAAGCCAGATAATGAAGTTTTAGAGTGACACACACAGAAATAACATAATGAAGTAATGAGGAATGTACATGGTGTAAAGCTTAATCCAGAGGGTGCTAAGACCCGCCAGTTCTGATTTATGGATATTGTTGACCACTTACTAATGACTTCTGTAATGATCATGGTGTAAAAAGTACATAAGGTGAGCTCTTTAACCACCGAACCGATCAGTTAATCAGGAGGCTAAGAACAAGCGACCTTCCATACTGGATTTTCCACCAATGAGCGTAGAGAACGCGTTCTTTAACTACTGCTACAAGTAAACAAGAGTATAGGGTAAAAAATTTCCTCGATAAGTAATATGTTTAAAATTTGTTAAGTGCACTATTTTACGTATAAATATAATTATGTATAATCATCTAGTTATTTGTAAAATATACAATAAAGTTTATTAAATATTTCAATAAACAAATTGTACAACTTTTTTTAAAACAATTTTAACATCAGAAGTCAGTTTTTTTTGTTTATCTCTGGCAATCTAATTTACGTTATCGTATGAACGAAGCTTTTTATTTAATACTGCTTTTCGAGGTGAGTTGTATTTATTTCCAGCAATAAAGTGTAAGTAGTTAAACAACGCGCTCTCTACGCTCATTGGTGGAAAATCCAATACGGAAGACGTTTGTTCCAAGCCTCCTGATTGGTTGATCGGTTAGGTGGCTGAAGAGTCCACGTGATGTATTTATTACAGCATGGTAATGATCATCTCCTAAAAGAATGAGTGTCACGTGACTGCCGATAGATGGTCATGCAGACTGCCAGACTACATGTAATCTCACCCTTATGAAGCCAACTTTTTAAAGGGTGGGCTGAACCATGATGTAAAAATACAAGGTTAAAGTTGAAACTGAAACCTATCCCCTGCATCCACCTCAAAGTGACAGACATATATAGATGTCTTTTATTTATATTGTGGTACTCTACGTCCGGCTCTTTTAATAAGGGCACTACTATGGGCATTTAGTACTTGGAAAAGGGACAAGGAAAGGGATGGGAGGCCTCCCATTAGTGGGAGGGGGGGTAGGGGGAAATTAGGCAATTTTTGCTGCGAGAAGGTAAAACCCTCCTTGAAGGAGCATTGCGTGGTGAAAAAGCACATGTCAAAGATCACAAAGGTACTTGCCCGAAAAGTCGCACTGGCCGAGAATCGAACCACGGCCTCCCGCGTGCCAATCCACGACCTAGCCGACTGAGCCACCGCGTGCTCGAGATATATATAGATATAGACATACATATACGTCAATTGATGAATGATTACCTATTAAGTCAGTTTTTTCTGTGTAAATATTCATGAATTGTGCGTTTGGTCACTGAAACAACTGGAAAGAAAATATTGAAATAAAAAATATATATTGTTTCACGAGTTTCTTGATGTTAATATGCTTTATATTTTTAAAGCTTCTGAAATTCGCAGACAGACATGGCAACATGATGGAAGCGTTCCTGATTGGTCAATCAAAATGGATACGTTTGTTTGGAAAAAAAACTCCAGACAAGTTTAAATTACATGTAATACATAAATTAATTACATTGGTAAACTTTTTAGGCGAATGTGTAGTTCAGCCCATGATGTAAAAATACAAGGTGTGGCATTGCACAGTGGCTGGATATTTGTTACAGAAAAATAATTATAAGAATTTTTGGTGGTAGAAAGAACCTAGTGAAACCATAATGGATGATTTTATTCGTTGATAGAATGATGGTCATGATTATATGCGTCAACAATGTTTTCAACCCTCGGTTTTTATTTCTAGTGATAGGGTCACTTAAGCATAAAAAAATCTCACTAAGGTTTTTTATCTGTTAATTCACAAGCACTTGCAGGCCCAGTCATGATCCTGGTCCCACATCTTAATATACATCTATAGGATATGAGTTAATTATCTTGCTGCATGGGAAGAACAGTTGATATCCTCTTGAAGGTTAAACAAGATTACATGCATCATGGTTAAGGAACATAATATCTTAGACTACACAATGTTACTCTTTTTTCTGGCTTATGTTTTGGTAATTATTGCTTGCTTGCTTGGCAAGGGATAGCCTTTGATCACTGAGGTGAGAATTGGTAATCATTGAGTAACCTGAGAGATTACGCATAGACATGACTTCCAAAATGCATAATGGGTTCAATAATTGATGGAGACGAACAATTATACTTTTATCAGGATGTTCTACTTAAGACACAGTTAATAACAGGCAACAATTGACCTTTTAAACTTTTTTCTTATTAAAATTTTTTGTAACTTTAAACATAAACCGTAATTCTATACAAAATTATTGAGTTAAACTATTTGCCAGTCCCAGAATTCTTCTATTTAAAAAGTGTGAAATAATAACCACATAAATGTTGCTACTTGAAAAATGATTGAACAACTCTAATATTGGAATTGCGATAGTGGTATAGAAATTTATCAATTTCAACTAGTTGGCTTTAGAAGGCTTATTTCTGTTTTTTCGATTTCAAGTTGCATCATTGGAATTATGGTTTTTCCGATTTATTATTCCTAAGACACTCTACACAGATATGACAATGTTGGAGGAAACAAATTTTAGCTGCTTGATCTACAGCTTATGTATGTTAATATTTATATATATAATATAATATTATATTCTACACAAATCTGACCAGGTTTACATGGGTAAAGTTATAAATGCTAAGAAAAATACTTCGAGGAAAACGATGTTTGTTAGTAAACAGTAAACGGAAATACCGTAGGTTTGTTAAAGTTTATTCTAGAAAAGAATTAGAGTAACGTAAACAAGTATTGTTCTCCGAGTGTCTCCCAAAGACTGTCTTTCAGAGAGTCTGGAAATAAGCTTGAATGAACCTTATATTAGGCATGCAGCTATATCAATAAAGGAAGCAAAGACCAATATTATGTTAAAAGCAAACGGAAAACAAAGTCAACTGCTTAGGGTTCTGACGGTATTCTCAATTAATACATTACTAAAAATTTATATTAACCGCTTAACATTGCTGCATACTTGGATATATTTAAGTGCAGTGGGTTTACACATTAGCTATGTAGAACCCTTATTTCTTCTAGAAAAAACAAAATACCAACGACAAGAAGTATCTCTGTATATGCTGTATTCATAGTTTACCTCACGACTGTCGATTCGGGAATAAGGCAACAATTACGGATATAATGAATTTTCAGTTACACACATTCGTGATGGCTGATAATTATGAATCACAAGCCCATGGTATCCTAAAACGATCTATGCTCCATTGTGCCTGGCAAAGGACACGAAACACGAGGCTAATAGGAACAACATAGCAGTATAATCTTCGATTTCAAAACTATTCATGAGCAGGCCCTGAAGTCGGCTCGATGCTCATTACTGTACACGCTTGCCGCGTATTTCATTTCACTACATGCTCGAACAGACAGAAAGCATGAATGGAGGACAACGTGTTATTTCCAGCTCTGAACGATCTCCTAAATGGTCTACGCGCTATGCTTTCTAGACCTACGTGGTCACACTACCAAAAAGACATGCGTAAAAATTGGAAAAATCCTACTACTACTGGTACTAACCGTTTATCCGTTGGATACTTGGGCATCTTGCCGGCTGATTTTACTACTGTGGGCTAGTCAATACACTTCAATTGAGGATTTTCTCTTAAGGTTGGAAACATCCGAAACGGTTGTGTACGCTTTGATGATAAGAGACTACTGTTAACAGTGTCAATAATCAAAGTATTCCAAAAGTATAACAACTAATAGATATTGTACTGTTTGGGTGAATACAGATAATAAGCGAATTTTAAGCAGGAATGAAGATTTATCAAACTTTGATATATTCTAGTAACACGATGTTTTAAGGTGGAATCGACCGAACCAAACAGGCACACTAGCAATACTATATAGTGTCGATATGAAGGGCCTCTGCACGCAAATACAGCAAGAGTGAGGAATAAGGAAATAAGGGGAATAAGAGCAAGAAATAAGGAAATACGGGAATAAGAGGAATAACAGCGTAAATAAGCCCAATAACGAGGCTAATACCATAGGCGCCACAGTTTCACATAGTCCCACTGAAAACTAGTGTCTATCGATTTGTTCAAGCCTCTTATAGTTCGGTTCGGTTCTCTTGACGAAATTTACCTGTAAGTATTATACAGAAACAGTTTTGTTGGGTTCGCCATACACAGGTAAACTTTGCTAAGGCCGCAGTCACATGGAGCCTAATAGAGCGAGCAGGATAGGAATTTCTCCTTTAGCGGCTGTGTTAAGTCTATTGCGCTACAGGATAGCCCTATAGAGCGGCTGTGTTAAGTCTATTGCGCTGCAGGATAGCCCTATTGCGCGGCGCAATAGACTTAACACAGCCGCTTATGGAGAAATTCATATCCTGCTCGCTATATTGCGCTCCATGTGACTGCAGCCTTATAGCGCCGTACATAAAGACGAACAGTTTATTCTTCTTATGTCTATGATATAAGCAGGTAGTGAGACCATGATGTAAAAATACAAAGTGTGGCGTTCCAAGCCCCAAGGTCTCATTTTCGTGCTTTCTATCACGAAGCCATAATTGAGGGAGATGTGACTACAACAGCGCCGGAGAGCCTTTACATTGAAACGAAGTGGTTAAGGTTGAAATTAAAACCTATCCCGCGCATCTACCTCGAAGTGAGACATGTATATAGATATAGACATACGTATAAATATATGTGGCGTCTCACATCTCTCGCGCTTCAGGCTCCACTCACTAGGTGGCCAAGCCCCTAATAATTCTCTCCCGTAAAGCAGCGAAATTCCCGCACGGTTACTACATAATCGCGATCGAGTCGGTTTAAGCCCACACCTCTCCTGTGTCTAAGGCAGGGAACACGTCATCAGCCTTACTGATATGTCCTGGCGTGCTCTCGGGACGAAACACCTTTTTCTCTCTCTAGTAGATGACAACGATACCTACATATAGGGGTAAATGACCCAATTACTGCGCACTGAAATTTTTGATTGTACTAAATTTCTCATTTCTCAATGTTTTTTAATGTAAATTGAACCAGTTTTAATTAATCTTCATCTGCAGCATCTTGTGCGATTAAAACAACAAACATTTATCTGTTAAGTAACTTTTTTTTTTTTTTAATGATTGTTTTAGTTCTGATATCACTTGCTGGTATTACTGCGCACGGTTATAAAATTAGCACCAGTCGCTGCGCCCCTAATTACTGCGCGGGTATCTCCCATAAGGTTTTCATGCAGAAGCTCTAGACCAAATTGCTACGCACCAAGCACTACGCACGACTACAAAGTTTTGTAGGTTAGATTCGTTTAGAGTCACTCAGTTAAACAATTATAAATGTCATGATGTGAAGTATGATTCTGGATTGAACGTTATTAATGTCCGTACGTGTTACAATATCCAAGCACCCAAATTTTTCAGTCTGTTTTTCTTATTTTCAGTTACCGTTGTGCGCAGTAATTGATGCATGCGCAGTAATTGGGTCATTAACCCCTACATGTATGTCATTTGATGAATGATTACCTATTTAGTCAGTTTTTTCTGTGAAAATATTCACGAATTGTACGTTTGGTCACTGAAACCACTGGAATGAAAATATTGAAATAAAAAATATATTGTTTCACGAGTTTTTTTATGTTAATATGCTTTATATTTTAAAAGCTTTTGAAATTCGCAGACAGACATGGCAGCGCGATGGAAACGTTCCTGATTAGTCAATCAAAATGGATACGCAACGCCACACCTTATATTTTTACATCGTGGAGTGAGACCAAGAGAGGTGTAATATAGTGAGAGTACACATATAGGGGTACCTTGTGTGTGTGTGTGTGTGTGTGTGTGTGTGTGTGTGTGTGTGTGTGTGTGTGTGTGTGTGCGTGCACTAGAGCATTGGGGGGTAAAATTAGAATGGGGACTGCGCGAGAATCGAATTTGTAAGGGACGCGCACTGGGACGGCGGCGCTTGACGGGGTCCGAGAGTAGGGTTTCGCTGGAGAGGAACTCAGAAAAGAGAGCTCGTGAGAGTAGTTAGATTGGCTCGCCTCCGAGGGGACGACGTAGGCAGCAGTACAAGGGGGCCCTGCGGAGTCCACTCGTGCGTTTGATTGTCGCTGGGAATCGTTTGGCTACGTTGACGTTATTACAGATTGCGGCACAGTAAAAAGAGTAAGTGTTCTCTTCCATTCCCGGTATCGTCTTCTTATCAACTTTAGTTGATGAGTTCAGACCAAAATAGGCGGAAATTCCTGGTTGCTTAATTAATCAACCAAGTGGTGGCCTTAGGTTGGCGATCGGATACGAAGGAGATCTTTTTTTTTTGTATGTGCTGAGTCTCCCGGTGTGCGTGATTTAGTTTGGAGGAGTTTTTCTCCTGTGTTTCCTTTGCCTTGGAAGCCATAGTTTTCTTTTAGCAGAGTGTTTATTGTGTTTGGGGAAGAATCGAATTTGTTTGTTTTTAAGCTAGATGACAAGCGTTGATCTCACTTTGAGGGATCATTTAGTTAGTCGGTAAAAAATCCCCGGGTGTTAAATCAACCGAGAGGTGACCTTCTGAGCGCTTTTTGTGTCATCCTTAAGGGTTTCAATTCATTTTTCATTTATAAGTTTTTGATTGAATCGGCAACGCTCTCGTGTAACGATCCGCACAGTAGAATATACTGTATGTGTGGTCGAATTCTGTACCTCTTTCTTGGTTAATTTTTGATTTTTGATTTTTGATTTTTACATTCATAAAGAATTGGAGGCATTCAACCGTGGTACGTTTTGATTTTACCCGTAATGATTGTATTCTAATATATAGCGATCTTATACATATACGTCTGACTATTTTTGTTTGAACTTTGAAACTCTCCTGTTGAAGAGTCGTATTTTGAATTTTAATTATAACATAGTTTTTACGCCTAGACTTAAGGTAAACAAATCTGATGTACAAAGGTGAAATATTTGTTATGGGGAGATATAAGGGGGATCCTACAAAAACGAGTGATCTGCGATAATGTAAGCTTTTTTACATGTTATCGGGTGATTTGATAGAATCTCGTCGATATTTTTTTTATTTGATTTCTCGTCATTTTGTGAAAAATGACGTTCTGTAATTAAGTCCGATTTCGCAGAAGTTCTGAGAATTATAAATAAAATTCTTTTTTTTTTTTTTGTTTTCATAAAAAATGATTCAACGTGTAAGAGAATCGATTTTGGTTCTTTAATTTCTTATGATTTTATTTGATTTATATCAAGAATCCTTTTTTTTCTTTTTTCTTGTCAATTAAGAAATTTGAATAAACACCGAGAATTAAATAAAATTTTTTTTTTAGTTCGTTTCTTTTTAGTTGCGTGTCTCCTCAGCTCCTCTGTCTGCCGTTATACCACGATCCACTTTCCTTCATGAGTTACCCTTAACAAAGTGGACCGTTTCAATAGATACCTACACATATACACATCTTCGCTGGGGTTGTATTTTCCCAATTAGTCCCGAAAATGGCAGAGCTAATCAGTGTCTTTCGGATACTTGAGCAACAATCTCATACCCATTATAGCTAGAAGATATACCTATACTCAGTATGTATATAGATTTTATGGTTGCGTTCGAAATTAGAGAATATACTATTGGAGTGAGAATACAGGCGGCTGAGAGCGCGACACGGTAACAGAGTACAAGTACTACCTTTCTCTCTTTCTCTCTCTGTAACCGAGCTATGATTGGTTGGCTCTGGCAAGTCAAGAACTCGACCGACCAGTCCAACTATAACTCGGTTAGAGAGAGAGAGAGAGAGAGAGAGAGAGAGAGAGAAGTAGTACCTATACACTCAGTCACCCTGTCACGCTCGCAGCCACCTGCATGCTTACTCCCGCTTTAAGCATTCGAATAAACTGTATTCAATCGTATTCTTGACTGTAACGCCATCTCTCGAAGTATCAGAAATTTAATATTATTTCATCCATTACATATCGGCGTGTATTCAATGTATGCACCTTAATCAAAGTTACAAAGAGGAAAACGCTTAACCTGCGCAGTGTTTTGATTAAAACTTCTTTACATCAAAATAGCTCCTGTTTTTTGATCTTTTACACCATTTGTCACGTGGGAAAGAGAAACGTATTCCTTACGTTACACCATTTAATTATCAACTGAAAAGTGCACAATTTAATAAGATAGGAGTTGAAATTTAAACATGGACAGTAAATGCGAGTAGTTTGTATTTTAGTAAAAAATAACGTTAACAAAACTAAAAACTAATCAGTTTCAATTTTATCTACAATTTTGATTCCGGTACTTACACATATTGTATGATTGTATATGTGCCGATAGATAAGATGATATTAAATATCTGATACTTGCAGAGATGGCGTTACAGTCGAGAATGCGATTGGGATACCAATACGGTTTATTCGAATGCCAACTTACACATGTAAGGATACTACTCAGTGTGGCAGATGCGGGAGCTTCTCCTTATTGGCTCTGCCATATTTAGGACCAACACGCACACAAACTTAATCAATTAATCACTGGCTCAGAATCTTACGTCTTTGAGCTTCATATTTCGAGTGACATACATAGATTTTTTTTTTTTTTTTTTTATATTATAGTGCTCTACGTCCGGCTTCTTTTTAATAAGGGCACTACTATGGGCACTTAGCACTTGGAAAAGGGACAAGGAAAGGGATGGGAGGCCTCCCATTAGTGGGAGGGGGGGTAGGGGGAAATTAGGCAATTTTTGCTGCGAGAAGGTAAAACCCTCCTCGAAGGAGCATTGCGTGGTGAAAAAGCACATGTCAAAAATCACAAAGGTACTTGCCCGAAAAGTCGCACTGGCCGAGAATCGAACCACGGCCTCCCGCGTGCCAATCCACGACCTAGCCGACTGAGCCACCGTGCGCTCTGA